TCCCCACAAAAAATGAGAAGTCTGATGACCTCATCCCATAGGAGTTGGTATGTATGTATAAGTTTCTCACAGACTTACATATTTCAACATATATTTTTTTTAAGTGTGATTAAGGTTTTAGTTAATTGCACCAATCATACCACATTTCATCCCTGTAGATAAGTAACAGAAGGTCATTGGTTTTTTATCTTAAGGGTTATTACACATACTCGTTGGATGCATCCCCACTACCTATTAACTCATGGTTATTCATATATTACAATAAAAGTAAGTTTTTCAATGACATTTGTTTTTTTGTTAAACTAATGTATATTTATAACCTGAATACACGACCAAGAGGGATACATGAAAAATCTATAACAGTTAAATAACCCTTCGACAAACAAACAATCAAAATAAACCCTTACTCTTAAAAATATTTAACAAAGTTTACCCAACTGTCCAATTCCTTAGAATCCTTACTAAATCTAACTATACGATTTGTTTTTTTCTTACTCGTCTCAAAGCTTACATGTGACAGGTCATACTCCCTATTTGAGATTGGGCATAGGTCAGTATAGTGGCAATCAAAGCAGAACGTCAGATCTACTTATAAGCCTCATTCATCTTAAACGAAGAAGTTCGTTATGACCGCTTAACCCTTATACAAAAATATAAAGATTTTTTGCAATCTTATTCATTATCCTAATTGTAACTTGCATAGTTATGGTTGATGTTGTTGTCTAGGTGATGAAGAGAGTCGATAGTGTTTATGATGATTAATAGTTATTTTTATAACACACAATGTTTTATCCCATTGTCGAGCGCATCAATTTCCTAAATGTGCACGCACAAGCAGATTCTCTCGGTTGTATCATGAAGCTTAAAAAACATGAGTCTTGTGAACATACAACTATAGCTGCATGCGTCGACTATAGCTTTTACGGCCTTCTGCAACATGATAGGGTACCGCGCGACACAACTTGTATTTGCTCTATAAGTTGTCAATATTATTGAACATATATATATATCATAAACTATTGACCCACATCTAACATTTTTTTACTTGTCGTATTAGAGGTGAATCAGTCGAGGGCGTTCCTCGTTAGTTGTAGCATAAATGTGCATCCGGTAGAATGTTTAAAATCGATCAATTAATGTGTAAAGCTCAAAGTGTTAATATCTCAAATTAATTTAGATACCAGATCGATTCAATCTTACAAACTTTTTTACTTATAACACTTCAATTTTATATTTTAAGTGTCAAACCATTTTATGTCACAACTTAATCATCCCCTTTAGTTTGGGTGCAAGTACATGTAAATATCATACAAGTAAGGTGCGAAAACTGCTAAAAATCAAACAAACTATTACAATAACACTAAATGTGGAACTAACTCACGATGCTCATCTGTCGAGGATCATATATGAACCTTAAGATCTTGTGCACCTTTCAATAATCTCCCTAAGAGAGTTGTGAAAATATTTTTTTTATAACTCAGGATGATCGAAAAATCATCGCTCCAGTGTTGAGAGAAGGTTAACAAGTTCAATAATATTTAACATTATATAGTTGCTACAATATTAAATACCCACCAAAAAAACAAAATAAAATATGGAGGAAGAGATAATATTGTATTTTTTCGTATTTTTATTATTATAAAGATTTTATAATGTTAATATTTATACAAATTTAACTTATGAAAATTATAAAAGATCTAAAGTGATAAAAATGCTAAAAATTATATACATCCTTGCTTTTTAAAAAAAAAAAAAAAAAAGGTGAATAAGAGTTTATTCATCACATCAAAATTTTCAAAATCTTCAGCATTAATATGGATTTTGATACTGTGGAAAGGAGGTCAAAATTTTTCGTATGTTCAACACTTCAAAGTTTTAAGAATCTTCAACATCAATATACATTTAAATGCAAGAGGGAATATTTAGAATATCCGACATTTTTACACCTTCATAATTTTCATATTGTTCAAGGTTTATCCAAATAGGAGTAACCCATTTGAAAACATCATGATAAAAAAAACCATCAATTCGATTTAAATCCACTTCTTATGCGGTCACTCCATGTTGCTACACTCGTCGGTCTTTGGGAGTCTAACCCTCTGCATGTGCATATAGTAGTGTGATTAAACGAATAAGCAATCCGGTTATCAATCCATTTCATGTTGTTTATTTAATAAAGTGTGGAGTTATAATTTCCTCACGCATCATCTTATATTGTATGTATTATTTATGCTTTATTAAACTCACCATCTCCATCACCTTATCGAGTTAGAATCTCCTCATGAGGGAAGCAACCTCTACCATTTACCTTAAACCACCACTACCTCTCAGTCTGTGTTTAGCCGACCCTGAATTTCATTGCGCACCAAGTTTTGTCAAGGCTGAGTCCCATTGTCTTATTTTTTATGGTAACCGTCGAAAAAAAAAAGAAAAAAACAAAGACGTTAGGGACGTGAAAGCAAATGTATACATAACATTGAGTACATGTGAGAGTATGCTCTGCCAAAGAGCATTGTTGTCCTTAGCAAGACACAACAATAGGGAGGAAAAAAAAAAAAAAAAAAAAACACAACAACTTTTTGGACGTGAAAGTAGTTGGATACAAAACATTGAGCACAAGTGAGAATATGCTATCCCAATGGGCATTACAACTTTAAGCAAACATGATTGTACAAGGGGAAAAAAAAAAAAAACAATAACAACTCTTTGGACGTAAAAGCAGTTGCATACAAAATCTTGAGTACTTGTGAGAGTGCCCTGTTTGTTGCAAGTGTCAGTTCTCCGTGGGAATCGCCCTCCCTCGTTGGCAGGACACTGAAACTAAGAAAGAATTAAAAAACACAAACAACAAAAAAACGAAACTATCCATGATTATGGGCAGAAGCATTCCAAGGGTACTACTGTAAGCACACCCCCTTCATGGCTTTCCCTGATGTCTTTCCTTTTAACTCTGCATTTTTTTTTATTTTTTTTTTCCCCCCTCCTATCGGGCCCATAAGGCCCAAATGTTTTGTTTTTGCCAACCCTTGCCTGGACCCTGCAACTTTGCGGTTGAGGTCACTTTCCCTAATGGGACTACAACTTGGAAAGCTAGTGGTGGCTTAACTTTTTACTTTCATACTGTCTTTCCCCCTCATTCATTATTTATGTTGTATGTGATGTATATGGTTTCTTAACCTCACAATCTCCATCACCTTCTCGAGCTAGAGCCTCTTAAAAAAAGAGGGGTTCCTCCGGTTTAACTCTATACTATCATGCTGCCCTTTCACTCCTCATCACGTCACGAATCTCCTTATTCCTCTTCATCTCCATGTACTTACATTGAGAATCCTGATCCGGGACTGCTTACCTTTGTTGCCTCTCAACGCCAATATATTCTTGGTCACCTCCGCCACCACCACCCTCTGCTCATTGAAAGTTATGATGAATGCCCTAAATATCCTTATTCCTCTCTTCTTCAAGTTTTTGACATCGCTTAGGAGGTGCTGCAAACTAAACCTCCCTTACCTCTTGCTCTTCCCCATTATGAATATCAATCCCATAATCTGCCGATTTCTCTTCTCCCTAGTCTTCGTTTCTTCCCCTTGCACATGTCAAAACCAGAATAGCACATACTTCGATTTGGTCTCCACTTCCTCTTTGTTCTCCGTCCCCAACTTCCCTTGAGCAAATGGCTGTCCATGGAGTCCCGTTCGCACACTATTTGCCCTCGAGTTCCCCACACTTTCTCCTCCATTACCCGCCTTAGCCGGTTGAAGTCTTATAAATCCATAAGAAGCAGTGCTTCATCCTCACCGTCCACCTCATCCTCCCTTTGCCCGCTTACCTCCCGCTGATAAAAGCCCTTGAAGAGCACCAAGGTTGCCCCTTCGTCTCATCCTCCTGGACATATTTCCACCTCTTTCGAATCCCCACCTCTTTCGAATCCCCACCTCTTGCCCTTCTAAACAGCATCATCTTCCCAGAACGCTGAAACTTCCGCATACTCCTTATGTATTCCGTGTCACTGGATCTGCTGCCATTCACAAAACTGAATACACGTTTCCGTTGTTGGAGTGACCCATTTACCCCTTGCTTTGGCTGGAGGAATACCCTCGTTTCTGTCTCATGACACCATCTGAGAGGTAACCAGCCTCTAGGGAGATCGTGACCTAGGAAATGGGCCTGATAGAGGATAGCCCTGTGGTCCTTCGTTACTGGCGGTGTGCCGAAGCAGTGAGTTCGCCACTGTGGGTGGACCCGCTGGTACAACATCAGTATTAGCGAGGGGCACCTGCCCACCGCGAGCTGTACCTACGACCGTACTATTTTTATGTGTCGTCAACCTATATGCAGGCAATTCGCCAGCAGGACGTCCCATGTTCGAATCGCAGTCGTGGATCGATCTGGCAATCTCCACCCCAAAAAGATTGGCTTGGCCACGGCGGGCATTCACGCCTACTGTGCGCGCAGGCGCGAGATCCGGTTTTCCGCTACGTCGCGTGGCGAAGTGGGCGAAGTTGGGCGAAGTGGGCGAAGTAGGGCGAAGCTGGGCGAAGTGGAGCGCAGTGGCGAAGCAGCGCGGGACGGTGTTTTCCAGCCCTGATGTCGCGCGGTCAGGTGCGTCGCTACGTCCGCATTTGACGGCCGCCACGATCCATGACACGTGTGTCGTCCGTGATTACCAGTCGTTAGCGTTTGTTCCGCGAAAGGGGAGGGAGGGAGTGACAGCTACCGGGCGGACCAAGGGGTTGCATGTTGTCACCATCGCTACGCCTCTCTTCCGGACTTCTCGCTGATCTTTCCGATATTATTTCGGCCACTACCGGTAGCCGTTCAATTATCTCAACAGGCTGTCGAACCGACCCAGCGTACCTATCTTCCGGACGGACGAGCAGATGCCGCACTGGCGATCTAATATATGCTATTTGCTGCGCAGCCGGCCCGTCTTTCGATCTCCTCGCTGATAACGACCACGCGCTGATAACGAACACGATCCGTTGATTTGTGGTTCGGTCCAGCGGTTTGAGCCGTACTCACACGAGGTCTTTCCTGGATGTATATGTCCGCTTTTACGGCAGGCGTGGATGCACCTGACCGCAAACACGTCCACAGAGAAGCCGGAAAAGTCATCGTGTGAGTATGCCCTGAGATGAGATCACCCATCATAGAAAGCAAAAAGAACGGGTGGGCGAGAGATCGACACGTGGCATCGCCAGTCGATCGCGGTTGTCAGCACGGTTCTGCGACGGCTGACGTCGATCGAATTTGATCGCGTTCATTGCGACGGCGTAGACGGATGGGATCGATCAATCTGCTGACAGATCAGCCCGACGTGGTTTGCTGACAGATCAGCCTGACGTGTGATTCGCCGTCATCGATATCGGAACGGCGTAGACGGACGAGGATGAGGGATCAAGGACTTGTCCGAGAGATAATACAGTATAACGTTTGGTCGTAAGAGAGCGTGGGGAGTTTAGTTGGCAGTGAATCAAGTCGAGGGAAGAAGATCGACGGTGACGGTGACTTGTATAAGCCGACGAGGTGCACAGCAACCTCGTCATTTAAGCAAATTCGGCGAGGTCCACAACAACTGCGCCATGCTGCTGAGCGCGTCTCGAAAAGCGGCGGCACACGTGGCACGAGGTTTGGCGGTCAGAGCGCGCCGAAGTAATGTGAGTAATTTTTTGTCATTTTGTATATTTCGTGATCCTCTCCCTCCCTGCATTCATGCTACGTGACCTTCTCTCTCTCTGTGTCTCTGATTCTCTCTTTCTTTCTTTCTTTCTCTGTCTCTGATTCTCTTTCTCTCTCTCTCTCTCTCTCAGATCTCTCTTTCTCTCTCTCTCTCTCTCTCTCAGATCTCTCTTTCTCTCTCTCTCTCTCTCTCTTTCTCTGTTTCTCTCTCTCTCTCTCTCTCTCTCTCTCTCTCTCTCTCTCCTGCTCTCCTTCTACCTCCGGGGCCTAACCCGCTAAGAGCTCGGACACTCGACGCATCCAGAAGTGGATCTGCCGTTATTTCCCGCCGTTTCTCGATTTCGTTCTTTTTCCTTCGTTTTCTTTCATGTTTCCCTCTTCCCGTTATAAGAGACGCATCCAGAAGTGGATCTCTCCGTATGCTTCCACCGGCTATGTCTTTATGTCCCTTTTTCTTGCTCTCTCTCTCTCTGTCTCCCTCTCTCCTTTTTGGAAGAGGGGACTGTGCCGAACAGTATCGTATCCAACAGGATTCGGACGCATGATCTGATAATCAATAGCTACGTGTGTGTTCCATTCAGGCACAAGGCTGGGGATGCGTCTCGCTCCCTGCCCCGCCTCTCCCTCTCTATCTCCAGGCCTCATGGTCAGCTTCATCTTCAGCCTGCCGCAAATTACGCGTGACGGTGGTGAATGCGACCTCTCTCTCTCTCTCTCTCTCTCTCTCCCCCCTGATCTCATGCTCAGCTCAGCTTCTTCGTCAGTGTGGGGTATCCCCTAATCTCATGTTCGATGCACGTTTCCATACTCGTCGCACAATCGCGAGGGACAGTCCGCCACGTGTCATCTCTCGCTGTAGTGCTGGGCAGCTCTGCCCAGGCGTGTGTCATTCTCTCACATTGCCCACATCCACCACGTTTTCCCGCTATGTGGTATTGCTTTGCTAATAAGCTGACTGGGCTCGGCATCCCCGCTCGTTGCCGTCCAGCTCAGCGCTGACTGTGCACGAAATACGATAATTGCTGAATGGATTCGGGTGCGGCACGTTCGACGCTCGCAGGCGCTGTACTCTTCTTTGGCGGTCACAAGCGGAGTCCACCTTGCAGCGGAGCTGCGTGAACATCTTGGAGCGGCGTGCATCTTCCACGTAGAGGGGTTACTCCTGCCTTAGCCAGGGGGGTGGACTAGGCGGAGGATGGGGAGACGGAAGAGAGAGAGAGAGAGAGAGAGAGAGAGAGAGAGAGAGAGAGAGAGAGAGAGAGAGAGAGAGNGAGAGAGAGAGAGAGAGAGAGAGAGAGAGAGAGAGAGAGAGAGAGAGGGGTTATGCTTGACGATGGCGTGCCCCAACCGAAGTCTGGTGATTCTGGGAATGACGTCGAACTGTTCTTCTCTGATTGTTCGACATGAGGACGGGGACACGATGTGATGAAGGACAGCGGCCGATTCAACATCCAGRCAGACAGAGAGAGAGAGAGAGAGAGAGAGAGAGAGAGAGAGAGAGAGAGAGAGAGAGAGAGAGAGAGAGAGAGAGAGAGGGGGGGGGGGKTGCGTTGAAGGTCTTGGCTGTCATAAGGCGATTCGCAAGATCTTGCATGCGATCTATCTGTTGACAGCTTGGCATGCTTGTGAGTGGAACCCCGACGAAGCTCGATATGAAAAGAAAAAGAGAAAAGGTAAAAAGAAATGGATACTTAAGTGAGCTTTTGCAAAAATGAGAGATCCAGAAGAGTGAACAAAAAAGAACCCTGAACTGATTGGATTAATGTGGCGAATTGGATCGTGTGGCAGGACGTGGGCCAGTTGGTCTTCTGTTATCATCATCGTCTTCGTCGTCCTGGTCAACGTTGCTATCCCGCGGCTCCTGCGCGTGAGCTCAGTATCTTCCGGGATATTGCACAGCGAGTGAAAGGTGAAATTGAGAGGTACTTGGCCGCCCTGCACTCTCACATTCATTCTATTGGGCTGTGGTTGTCCCGGATATCGAATCGACCTCGTGATTTTGGGGCTTGATTTGGGGTACTTAACGTGGGAAAGGTTTCAAGGCCTTCAATGGGTGAATTCGTTCTTTTTAGATCTATATTGTGGCAAAGTGCGTTGTTAACCATCCATTGGCGTTCTTTGAGCGTTCATTTCTCGTGTTTCGGTAATACTCGTACATTGGCGGTCTCACAATTGGACTTTTGTGGCGAGTGTGGTTGAGTTTGGCGCAGTATGATGGTGTGGCTCGGCATTGCTCGATGGTGTGGCTCGCTGTGCCTTGGTGTGGGTCATTATCGCTCACTGTCACTCACTTTCACTCACTGCCATAGTCACTCGTTATCACTATCACTCTATCACTCTATCACTCTATCACTCTATCACTCTATCACTCCGTCACAGTGTGAAATATGTCACTGTCATGTCTTTCTGTCTCTTTGCGTCTCTGTCACTCTGTCAGTCTCTCTCTCTCTCTCTGTGTCGATCAACTGTCACGCACTCCCTGTCACACACTCATTCTGTCACACACACTCTGTCACACACACTCTGTCACACACTCTCTCACACACTCTCTCACACACTCACTCTCTCACACACTCTCTCTCACACACTCACTCTCTCACACACTCACTCTCTCACACACGCTGTCACACACTGTCGCACACTCTGTCACACACTCCCTCCCTCACACATCACTCTGTCACACACTCACTCCCTCACGCATTACTCTGTCACACACACTCCCTCACACATCACTCTGTCACACACTCTGTCACACTCTGTCACACACTCTGTCACACACTCTGTCACACACTCTGTCACACACTCTGTCACACACTCTGTCACACTCTCTGTCACACACACTCTGTCACACACACTCTGTCACACACACTGTCACACACACTCTGTCACACACACTCTGTCACACACACTCTGTCACACACACTCTGTCACACACTCTCTGTCGCACACGCGCTCTGTCACACACTCACTCTGTCATACACTCTCTCTGTCACACACCGTCGCTCTGCAATGCACAGTCGTTCACTGTAACTCACCCGTCACTTGTCGTCACCCAGCGCCACAGTCCTCACCATCCAGTCAGTCGCTCCTGTGTCAGTGTTGTCACTCTGTGTATTTCAGTGTTTTCCCACTGGTTTGAAGAACTCTGCCACCCACTACCTCTGGGGCTTCTCTGCGAAAGGTGCCTCAGTTTGTGGGTGAGGCCATTGTTTTCTCCTTCACAGAAGGCCTACCTTACGAAAACTCCAAACCTCAACCTGGACGAGGGTTTTTTCTACCAAAGCCCTCTGCGCTGAAGATAACCCCGAATCGCCTGCGCCCATGCTGGATTATCCAGACCCACAAAATAGCCAGCGCTATTGTTTATTGTCCGCAGCTCTATGTTATTTGATGGCAAGTATTGTGTCTGTGTTATGTGGTGTCATGCAACTGCAAGCGATGCACTGTATCTCAGTGTCATTTGATGGGTGTGTATGTATGGGCTACTGTATCTTTTCTCCAGTGCTATATATGGGCTATATTTGTGGCATGTTGCGAGTAATTAAGCCCCTGCTAGGGACATCCCTAGCAATCAAGCCCCTACGAAGGACCTACGAAGGACCTACCAGGGACTTGCCTAGCGGTTAAGTCCACTACCGTAGGGACCACCCTATCAATTAAGCCACTAATGGGACCTCCGCACCAATCAGGCCCCTGGTAGGGAGGGAGCTACTATGGACCTCCCTGGTACCAATTGGGAGCCCCTACTAAACTAACCTCCGCAGCAATCAACACCCTCCTCACTAGCAGTTAAGGCCCTTCTTGGGATCTCCCTATCAATCAAACCCTTACTAGGCACCTACTAGGGACCTTACTAGGGACCTAACTAGGGACCTTACTAGGGACCTTACTAGGGATCTCCTTAGCAATTAAGCCCTACTAGGGACCTCCCTAGCAATCAAGCTCCTACTTGGGACCTCCTAAGCAATTAAGCCCTTACTTCTTGGAACCTCCCTTGCAATTAAGCCCTTACTTCTTCAGTTCTTCAGCTGGTCTGGAACCATTAAGACCTACTTGGAACCTCCTACTTGGGGCCAATTAAGCCCCTACTTGGAACCACGAAGACTTCCCTGTGTCCCGACTACCTATGCCTGACTAGAACAAAGCACTCTGGTTTCACCTCCCCTTCACCTAGGAGGAGGCGTCAGTGCTGCGCTCTGCCATTTCCTCGCTTTACAAGGAGGAAATGCCACTGTAAATGCCATTGTATTTAGCTCTTTGGTTTAAATGCCATTGTAAGTGCCTCAGTGAACGCTCTCTGATGGAGAAAATTTTAAATTCCTTCTCTGAAATTAAATGTATTTAGTAATCGAGGTAATGAAACTGGATGATGCAGGAACCCGGAGTTGAAAAAATCGATTGAAGAACTGAAGGAGAAGACTGGTGACATCACCACCCGGTACGTGGGATAACCTTTCTACTACTTTCCTTTCCTTCTTTTCTTTTCTTTTCTCTTCTTTTCTTTTTTCTTTGCGTCTCTTTTTTTTTTCTTTCCTCTTTTTGGGAATCTTCAAGAGGAGGTAACGAGTGGACCGGTCGCATCAGGGCTCGGTAAGGAAGGGGGATAACACCTTTCGTTTGGTTTGCAAATGAAAGGGGGATAGCTCCTAGCATTGTTGTATCTGGCAGGATTTGAACTCGTACCGCCATTCAGCCGCCAACAGGTACAAAAGGAATATAATAGTACAAAAGGAATATAATAGTGCACTCATGTATTCTTTGGCTTGATACAGACTATGTATTTGATGCTTGTCCGTTCTGCTTATGGTTTCTATTCTCTATTTGGGATCTCTATTTGTCATCCGTCCTGCTTATGTTTTTTATTCTCTATTTGGGATCTCTATTTGCCAGTTCGGATCTCCACTGGAATATGCTTTGTCGTTATCTGATTCCTTTGGATACTGTGACAATATCATTTTCGGATTCGAATCTACTTTGCCATGAATGTTGTAGTGTGTGAAGACCAATGAGTACAAAGAGAGAGGGGGGGGGGGGGAGACAGTGGGAAGGTATAATCAAGAAGAAGGATGCCTGCTCTTTATTGTATCTTCAAGAAAAAAAAAAACCCAGATAACGATGAGAAACAGACAAAACAAAAGAGAAAAAATTGGGAAGTGTACTCAGCAATCTCTCCTCTCCATCTCTCTCCCTCTCTCTCGCAGACCCAAATCGGGACCCATCCTGCTCTAGTCTGGGTCTCGTCTGCTGTCCAGCACATCGTTTACGGCATCGACTACCAGGGCATTTTGAATTCAAATAAAAATGCACCAAACGAAAGTAATGGTACTAATGGCAATGGCCTTTTTATGGTAGTTCTCTGAGTTTTTGTTATGGTCGGATTATCAAGTCAATCTATGGATTGAATTGGATTCTGTTTCAAAATTTACGATTCAGTCCCCAATTTTACCATGAATGCCAGTGGACTCTTTCGTATGTTCGGGAAATTTTACCATGGACGCCAGTGCAAAAAAATTATGAATATCATATTGATAGTTCACATTTTGGTAGTTTGCGCTTTGTGTCTTCCAGTGGACTCTTTTTTCTTATATTTAGGAAATGTACCACCCAAAAGTAATGGTGCTAATGGCAATGGCTTTTTTTTTTTTTTTTTTTTTTTCTGACTAGGCCAGTTGGTACGGGGAGCCAAGCCGTGGACCTTCTCAGCAGTTCAGGTGCCTTTTATTTTAAATTTCTGAAAACAGATACTGGCAATGGTGTTCTAATGTGCTGAAATTTTTATGGCAGATTATTATTTGATGGCAGATTATTATTTATGACACAGTATTCAAAACAGTTGTGAAGGGTTTAATGGTCGGCTTTGCATGGCCGTTGTGTCACCGATTGGCAGGACGAAGGAGCAGACGGGTCAAGCTGCACAGGTCATCCAAGAGTTCAAAAAAAAGATAGATGCAGCAAGAGAAGGAGCCGGCTCGAGAGCAAAACTGGTGAGGATCGACCTCTTCTGCGTGTGGTCATTCCGTTACGCAGGTTTAGGGACATAGGAGTCATTGGGCAGGGGGGGGGGGGGGGGGGGGACAAAAAGGCATTATGCCTGTTTTCGTGGTGGGTCCACATTACATGTTTGTGTGTGTGTGCTCGGTAGGGTGGGCTGGGGTTGTTGCTGCTCACTGTTTCTACGAGGTCCTGTACATCCGCATGAGGACTTGTTTAGACTGATTCTGGGTGCCGTGGTGGCTGGATACATTGAAGAAAGTCCTTGTGCGAGTATGCTCGAGGTGTTTGCTGTACTCCCAGCTGAACATTGCTGTAAGTTGTGTTTGTCGACAGCTCGTTTGTGGTGCCCTCTGGATGCTGGTCTGTGGCTCGCATCAGTTGGTTTCCATGTCAGGCATGCTGCTTTGCTGTCGCATACCGTAAAGGTGCAGACCAGAACAAGAACCGACCTCTCTCACAAAGTACAAGATAGCGTAGCGGAAGGCTTAAATACCAATGATCCGAACAATCATTGTTGCAATGCAGCCCAAACATACATCATCATCATTCCATGTGTGAAGGGGCCTTGTGCTCACACAGGAAGAATGCGCCAGTCCCCAACCATACACAGACAAAGAAGGGGGGGGTTGGACGAAGAAGAAGGGAAGATGGGAATGTCGTCAACACCAAGTCTTCGGTACAGGTCCCAAATAACCCCTTGTCAAATGTCTGAATCCCAATGTCGAGTCTGGATCCAAATGTCGTCAAGTCCCAAAGTCACCAATCTCTCTCTCTCTCGTAGTCTGTAGGTACTGAGAAGTTAGGTGGCGAGAGGGGGAGGAGGAGATGGTGGACTTAGGAGAGGAAGAAGAAGAGCTCTCTCTCTCTCTGTCCAGTACTAACCTGTGAAGGTGGCGCCTTGTTGCAGGTACATCGAAGACGAAGCTGGAGCTATGGCGCCACAGGTAAGTCTCCCTGGCCTCCGCCAACCATCTCTCTCTCTCCACTACCACTCTAGCTCCTAATAGCGCCCAGCGCTGAAGACTACTGCTAACGCTACTACTACTTCTGCAGCGCTCCTCCAGAGTGCTGCTGCCGAATACTGAAGACTGCCTCCTGCCTCCTGCACGTGAAGTGCCTGGGAAGTTCCTAGGAACTACCTCGTGACTGTCTGCAGCCTGTAGGGCGGGCCAGTCTTATATAGTGCTGGCCCGTCCAGGAGGCTTCTCTTGCCAATGCCAAAACGTGCCAGACCCTGGCGTTGAAGTTCAACCAAGGGTTGTCTTGAAAACAGGCCAAAAATGGCCTGTGCTAAAACCCTGGTCTGGTGCCTAAGTTTCAGGGCAGGTCGATCTTATGAGGGCCTGAAAATGGCCCTCCGTTTCAGGCTGAAAAGACTCAGGGCCTGGAAGGCCCAGTTTTAGGCTGAAACGATAGTGCCTGAAGGCCCTCGTTTTCAGGCTTTCAGGGTGAAACGACACAGGGCCTGTAAGCCCTTGTTTTCAGGCTTTTAGGCTGAAAACGCTGGTCGGGCCCTGCAGGCCCGTGTGGCTGCGCAGTATGCCACATTTGCTGAACACCACCTTCAAGGGTTATAATAGAGCAGGCGAACCCGTCTGACGGCTCTTTGCACTGCTGTGGGCATATTCATAAGCGTGAAATGCAGTGTTGCATTCTGTGTACTTAGGTAGGTCTCGTTTTTTTGTGTGTGATCTGACGTCGGCAGGGGGGTTATCAGGTAGGCAATCAACCTACGTGTAGGTGGAAACCTGAGTCAAACAAATCACTATTATTCATTCTAAAAAGTGACGAGTTGCAAGGTGCAGAGCACAAGACAGAGAGACATAAAGATGTAGATGAACACATCCCCCTGAAAAAGGGAACTTCATCAAACATTCATTCTAAACTCAAGAGTTGTTCTTTCCTTTTTTGTCTTTTTTTTTTCTTTCAATCCGAGATGTGTTGGGCTTATGTGGGACGGGAGCCCAAGATGGGGCCCAAGTGCGAGGTAAAAATAGGCTGCTCCTATTTTTGCTGTTTTGTATGCTTGCTGCGGGCCAGATTCAAACCTGGCACCTAAAACTTTCAAAAGAATGTCAGCTGTCCGGTGAAACCGATTTGACAAAAGTAGAAAGGCGGTAGCAAGCTTCACCTCAGTTTTTAGGGCATGCTCCATGCAGAAACTAGGACCTTTTATTTACTTGTTCATTATGTACGTAATTGCAGTCAGATACCTCCATGTCCTGCCATAAATATGGTCAGACACATTTCAGCTATAGAGCTCATGTGTGTGCGACCTCATTCGTGTGGTGGAAAAGTGACCGGGAAATGAGCATTGCTACTCTTAGTGTATCGATGGAGAGAATTTGTGTGCAGCCATAGCTGCTAGTTTCCAGTGATACAGGCCATCGTCTAGACAACTGTGTATTGCAGACTGCTCAGGGCAGCTAAGTTTCCAAGTGGAGATGAAGCTTTTGTGTGAAGTTCTTATCAACTGTGATTTGCTTCCAGTCAAGCATTCATCAGCGATGGATGCTGAAATTGTTTAAAACTTGGGAAACAGGAGGCAATCTTGTCATGGTTAGAGTGATTTCGTCCGCCTTGCAGCTATGCTCATCAGCATAGGTGCCTCGTCAGCACCTTCCTTATCAGTTGGCAACCTTCCGTATGGAGTTATACTTCGTTCCGCACGGTTTTTCGAAAGGAGGAGAGCTGTGGGAGGGCACTTGCTGGCTGGGTCAGCCCGGGCAGCGAAATAGTTTTCTTTTTCTGGATAGTCGGTGGGGCATCTCAGCCCACCAAGGAGGCGAAATTGTTTTCTTTTAGTGCCGTTGGCTGTTTGGGGGAAAAGGGGGGGGTATAAATGCGCATTTGAAAGGGGTTCAAACTTCAAATTTTGAGTGCCTTCGTGTGATACTTTTATGTGTTGTTGTTGTTGTTGTTTTTCCTTCGTAATATTTGATTCAATAAGAAAGTTGTTTGCATGGCAATTCTACACAACATTTCTTTTTTTCTGAAAATTTTCGGTTTTCTGACTTTTCTTCCGACATTTCTGATTTTGTGCTGGGGTTGCCCAGACCTTGCCCGGGACCTTGCCTGCCTTGCCCATTCCGGAGTGAGAGGCATTCCCGGTGCCCGGCCTGGTGAATAATGCATTTTTGAAAGAACAAAGTTAGCACGTCGCATGTTGTCCTTGAGCAGTTGTGCACATTCATTCATGAATAATGCCAGAAACCTAAACATAATACGTTGCATGTTGTTGGCAGGCTGCAGATACTCTGAAAGGGAAGGTGTCGGAAGCAACTGAACAGGTAAGAGGTGCGTTGCACATTCATAAGAGCCATACCTTGATCATCTCATGCGCTGTCTTGCGCCCTGGGTCTCACTGTCCGGGGGTCCCTGATGTGTAGGATATACCCTATCCTGCATGGTGTGGCACTTTTCGCTTAGTATTTGTTGTGTTAGGGTCAGGCTGTCTTGTGCCGTTTTTGTCAATGCCCATGTTGCTGAGTTTTACAGGTTGCATTGGTGATGCCAGGGCTCGGCACTGTAATTGAATCCGACGTATAGATGCACATATGCCTATGTAGGTTGACTGCTCATTTTTGGAGACCTACATATACCTACGTATGTTGACAGGGGGTTACATGTTTAACTATGGGGGTTTACTGCTCACATTATCATACCACACTGGGATTTGAAATCATGATCTGTTTATTAGCAGTTACCTGTGTAGCCAATTTTGTGTGTGTGTGTGTGTGTGTGTGTGTGTGTGTGTGTGTGTGTGTGAGAGAGAGAGAGAGAGAGAGAGAGAGAGAGAG